AGTGGGAGACATATGGCTGGCAGCCGTTTCACTGAGTGACCTGCAACATTCATCATGTCAGTTTATCTGGATTTGAATATTATTTTCCCATCCGTATTTGCCATAAAAGCAGGAAACTCCACTCGGTGTTATTGTTGCCTTTGTAGAGTGCTTGAGCATCTTTGCTGTGTTAACATTTTGCATAGCTGCGACGACTTTGCATATGATGTATCAAAACGTCCTAGAAATAGTCAATGTGGTGTTATCAATGTGTAGTGTGCCACAGGCCGTTATATCTGCCGCACTGTGATGTGCTTAAATTAATATACTTGATATCATGGTCATAATTTAAATTAAGGCAGAGTATTTATCTCCACGAACTGAATCGTGGTCATCATTAGAAATTAGTTCTAAAATATGCAAAATTTTCAGATAGCCGGCAATGTGTATGCAGTGGTATATGTATAAAATAAGGCTTCTCGGTTGGTAGATCTAAAAATTTTGTAGCTAAAAGAACGTATTCCGAAATCTCTTGCCGAGGTGCCTACGGGATCTCGTATATGCGCCCTGCGGAATCGTCAAATGATCGGGTTTGCCCCTGGTACTGTGAGAAGCGATGGTAAGCCGAATGCGTTGGTTTTTGATTTCAATATTGTTATTGTTGCTGTTCAAAATCGATCTTTTCAGTGACATAATGTATATCTTTATTGACGAAACTGCCTCTGCTATGTTTTTTTGTGGGAAAAATTGTTTATCGCGAGTTTTTTCTCTTTGCAGTATTGTCTGATTGGGGAAATACTGCCTTTACACCGCTTTATGCAGTAGTGATAGTCCATTTTCCTTTACCGTAGGATAGATACGGTATCATTAAGTATGCCTATAAATTGTATTCCTTTTATCTCTCACGTTTAAGACAGGATGAAGGAATATCTTTATAGTACACAAATCGTTTTTCGTAATGACTCCATTTATTTAAGTATATTAGATGTAGGATACCCAACGTTATGCAAAATGATTCTGTTACTGACAAGGGCTTTAAGCGATGACCACGAATAACGGTCTGTTTCATCGGACTTGCCGTTGTTCCTTGTTGTCTGCTCTTTGGCCTGCATTTTGCTTCGTAATCTTACTGATCCAGCTCTCAAAGCAGAAAGTTGACAATTAATTGGGAGTCCCTCTGTCCTATTGAGAATTTATGCATCAGGTTGGCTGTTTCTATTATTTTTTCTTTTGCTTCACTTTCATACTGTAAATAAATTTTTGCAGGAGACCGTCATCGAGTTCTGTCCAAACGTGGTTCTGAAAGTATCAGCCCAAAAATTTCGATAAAATTTGACGACGGCGATACGGGAAAAATTGGGCTTTGCGATGTTCGGCTGCTTCCAGCAGATTTTCGATCAGAAAGTAAGCGAATTACGACGAAAGTTTTCTGAGCTACGTCTCTCCTATTTGCGGCTTGTCCACAAAATGAACCGACTGGTAAGTTTGTCAGTAAAGATTACTTGTAAAATTAGTTTGGAAGCGATTGAGTAAGTGAAATCGATGGTAAAGAGATAACTGAGTAAGCTATTAAACAGGCTAGCGAATGGTTAAATGTAAAATCAGTAAGTTAATTCAAATTTTTATTGACCCCGGAATTGTGAGTTTACTAACAAACTTAGTTTTCGACGTCACCAGTAAGAATAAAATTAAATTCAATTCAGTGTCCATGAGCACTTGCGCTTTTTGGTCGTGGTAGTTGATCCTTCAGACAGAGCTTCCAGCGTTTCCGATCCTTTGCCAGCGTCTGAGCTTCGATAGAACACAACTAGAATTTGGAACAGACCTCATTCATATACTTGCTCCAAGTTAATCTTGGCCGTGCCCTGGGCCTTCTGCCAGTCGATTTGGCAAGAAGCAGTCACTTAGCCTTCCTTTCTGGAGGCATTCACCGTTGTTCCACATTAACAGTTTCGAGAGATGTTCAGGTTTTTCATCACCACGAGAGGATCAGTCAATTTGTTTCCTATTCGATTCTCTGGATACTCCTGCCTCCAGGTGTTAGCATGGTTCTCCAGATCCATTTGTAGGGAATGGAGTCAACAGCAATGTGACGATCGATTGATATGCTCTGCGCCTTCCTTAAAGCGACCATTCAGTGCAGAACTCGTTGATCAGACGATACAGTGATTATTAAATAGATAATACTTTTGTGCAGAATTATCCCTATACTAAACCTTCCGATGCATGCTTCGATACCCGATGAATGTGTTCATAGCAGACAGTCCGTTGTTTGCACTAAACCGCGACAAGTTCATGCCATTATTGTTGAGGTCGCTAGAGCCGTTTTTCCCAATCACGCCGTTCCGCTTTTCAGCGTCTACTCCAACGTGCGCATTAAAATCGCCCATCAGTATGAGGGACTCTGTATTCGGCACTTCGGACAGAGCATACTGCAGTTTCTCAATTAAGGTATGATGTTCTCCCTCCGCATAGACCTGTACCAAGGTCATCGATTTAGCCTGTTGTAGCTTCAGTCGGAGGATTACCGCCCTTCCGCTG